CTTATTCCTCATTTAACACGAGCCTTTAAACCTTTCCGATTCGCACATCGCATGCAGCATTGCGAGCTGTGGCAAGTCGCAGGCTCCACAGCAAGGGGCTTTATTCGTCTCATCCAGTTTCGTTTGGGAGTACACTGTAGTGTAACTACATTAACTACATAGGCACTATAGGGGACATCAGTGTCGATAATTCAGACATTGATACCATCCAGCAGCTCTTTGCAGTTTCAAGGGCAGAAATGATTCCTGAAGCCACCGAGCTTAATCCTCAACACCACGCTCTCGCCAATAAATTATCCTAGGCTAGGTACTTATGGGCAAGTATGCGGATTTTCTCTTGATTCGATGCTCAGTTATGTGGCGTGCGGATGGGCCATGAGTTTGGGCTCATTGAAGGGGCCTCGTGTCATGCAAACTCTAAGACTCTAAGACTCGACAAAGCCTTATACAACAGAAGATAGCTTTCAGAAGCCATATGCCACGTATTCAGACCGCTTTTTTTCAGCACTTCAATCAAGGCAGAGGCCCTCACACCCAAGACCCCAAAACCCTAGACCCTAAACCCTTTAACCCCTAGACGCCCCAAACGGTGCACGCGAAAGTCCGCGAGCCTTTCATCTAGAGGCCTGAGCAGTCGGGAATACTAGCTGTTCCTTCAGGCTCCTTATCAAAATTGGCGTATGACCTTGGGTTTAGGAGTTTAGGGGTTTAGGGTTTCGGGTTACACTATTGTAACACCCCAACTACATTGCACCAGGCCATGTCCTATCGCTTGGACGAGCTCCGCCGTGCTTTGCCCAGACATCTCCAGGCCGTTCTCACATCGGAATCAGGGGTGTTGACGTTTGGGGTTTGTGGTATAGTCTGGCACAGTACTTTTCAGAATGCTATAGTATATAAACCCTAAACCCTAAACCCTAAACCCTAAACCCTAAACCCTAAACTATAGTATATTATGGTATTTCATGGTAGAGTTAGGGGTTCTGATCGGAAGGCTTGGGGTCTCCGGCTTTGTGCTTTAGTTTGGCACCCCGAGGCTAGAGGCGACGGTCTCCGCTCTTGAGGTCGCTACGATCAGAAGCTGATAAGGATTAGGGTTTAGGGTTTAGGGTTTAGGGTTTAGGGTTTAGGGTTTAGGGTTCAGGGTTTAGGGTTTAGGGTTTAGGGCCAGTTTAGGGTTTAGACCGAATGACCCTTACAAGCATGGCGATCGCTATCAACATCTCTGCACTGGCGGCTGAGTCATGAGTACTGGGATGCCGACCTCCAAAACCTCACCCTGAACCCCAAACCCCTCTAATACCCATCTAGTCACGCTTGAGCTTGCCCAGAGACTCCAATATCCCTTAATTAAGGAGTATTCCTTACATCATATCAAGGATCCTACGATAATTTAAGGAGTACTCCTTAATGAAGGGATGTTGGAGTCTCTGGGTGTAGTAGTAGTAATCCCAGAACCCTCACCCTGATCGTCCCAGCGGTGGTCTCGTAGGAGCGGCTTCGTAGTGTGGGCTGCTCCGATTTGTCCGGCCGCTTAGCCGAAACTCGGGTTTAAGGTTTAGGGTTTAGGAAACTACTTGATTTTCAGGATTTCCCACCTCTATGGAGTCTGATAAGGGGTTCGGGGTGTAAGGTCTAGAATGTTTAGGGTTTATTGTTTCCCGCTATGGGGTCGTAGGCCACGATTGCGGAAGGCTTTTTGCAGGGTGTATGTCTCAAGGATTGTGGGAATAGTAGGCTTAGGGGTTTAGGGCCTAGGGCAAGGTTTATGGTGCAGGGTTGGAGGAGGCTTAAGTGTGCAGGCTTTGATGCTCGGAGGCTGTAAAAAGGCTGTAGAGCTTGATACTCGAACTTTAGGGCTGGAGGGTGTTAGGGCGAAGCGTGTGGTTTAGGGTTTAGGGTTTAGGGTTCAGGGTTCAGGTTCGCTACGGCTCAAGATTTTGGCTCAGGATCTCGGATAAAGGTGATTAAAGTGCGTGGGGCCATGGCTGATATGACTCGTGTTTCTGATTCTGATATGGAGGAGGATCACAAAGAGAGAAAAAGAGTTCGGGAGAGCTCGGGCATTGAAAAGGGGCAGGTCATTCCATTCAAATCACCCTCCCTCGATCTCGCTGTTGCTCCTGATGCTCCTGCTTGGGTTCATCAATTACAACTTCAACTGCAAACTCACATCACGACCGAGATCGACCGGGTCGCTGGTAACTCTGCAGCTCTGCAAGAAGAAATTGATGGACTTAAAGCTTTGAGGACCTCTGATGCTGCACGCCTCTCCAGTCTCGAGAAGAAAGTGGATGAACTTATTCAGCTTCAGGCAAATCCTGAAGTTGCAGCCCGTTGTGCTTCTCCATTAGCTGCTCGTGATGATCCTTGGGCTGGTAAGAGATTGGGAGTATCCATACCTCCTCCTGCTTCCCTCGGTGGCTCTTTTAGATCAAAAGGTTTTGGAGCTTCGCAAACTGCGGATACGGATTGGTCTCATCTT